TAATTAAATCGATGATCTTCATCCGGTTCTGTCCATCTCGTTGGAACCCAATAAACAAGCGAACTCCGTTTTATATATCATTGTTTTGTTCTATTTATAGCAAACTGCGACAAGTGTAGCACCAATAAAGCATGGTGTTTAAGTACCTTATAACTTTCGGATAAGTTTTAGGCTTTAAAGGTAACAATACCAAAGAATCACTGGTACGTATACGTGTGAGCAGGTTATGTGACACAAACAAATTCGGTACGTATACGTGTGAGAAGGTCATGTGACACAAACAAATTCGGTATTTTGACGCAAAAAGGTTGAGCTACCTGTTTTCTCGGCGTAGGATAACCCGTAAATGTAGTACCGATTTGGTACTCCAAAAATACCCGGATTTTGTGGCTAGTAATACCCTAGAATCACTGGTATTTGTACGTAATAATAGTTCATGCGAAACAATGAAGGGCATTGATACTCGTTTTCTGGAGGTAGGATAACCCGTAAAACTAGTACCGATTTGGTACTCGTGAAAAACCCGGATTTTTTAGGTAAAGATAGCTAAGAATAGCTGGTTTGTATACAATAAAGCAGGTCATGTGATACAATCAGTTTAGGTAGTCTAACACTGACTGAGTAGATATAAACGTTTTCTCGGCGTTAAAGGACCCGTAAATATAGTACCGATTTGGTACTCGTGAAATACCCATATTTTTAGGGTAAATATTTATCTGAGTGTAGAATGCATAATTCGATGAATTGCAAGAGATGATGCGGGATTGAGGCTGCAAAGGAATCTGCAGGCCGCAGATGTATTTGTTCTCACGAGGACTAGCTTTCATATGCGCCCATCTGGCAGTACTCAATATGGCCCAGTGCAAACACTGTGGGCAAACACTGACGGGCCTTCTCATGGTGCCGCGGCTCACTAAGAGGCTATGACACATAACACAAATATAGATCATCGCTCGCATCGAGAGATTTAGGTACGTTGATAAGTCCAAACGATCTCAAAATTCCATTGTTCTCTGAGATACTTCAGTGTTTCAGATACCGACTAGCATGGTAGTCAAATTCACCTCGGGAAGACTTTATCTGAAACAGAGAAAATGTGTATCATTCTCGCCTTTTGTATTTATTGGTCTCACTGAAGGTCTGCTATCGTTCTCACTCATCTTACGACATCGCGTTCATCTGAGCTGGCTATCGTTTCCGCCCGATATCGTTTTCATGGGAAAACTAGCACAGTTCCCACCAGCGCCTGGCGTCGACGTCGTTTTCTAACAAACTTGCCATCATTTTCTTAGAATTCCTAGTACGAATCTCCTCCTGGCTACCGGCTTATCTGGTTATAGAATTAACCCTCGCCGGACCTATTGGTTTTCTACATACGCGCCGGCCGAGGGGGGGGGGGGGCGGGTACGACTCCCCTCGCCGTTTCGCCCCTGTTGGAGCTAGCGCGTCGCGGATAAAACGAGCGTGTGCGCCGTTACGAGACACGACGTTACGAGATTGGTACCCGATTTTAAGGTCCTAGGTCAACCGGTGACCTCTGAGGTCAGGTCAAGTGCCCCAAAGTACGGTTCAGTTTTTGGTGAATAACTTCGCAAAAAACGGCCGCAGAACCGCGATTTTGGCAGTATCGTGTTCGCCTCGCTCAGGCACGTCGAATGATATACGTTTTGTTTGGTTCAGGTCAACTTAGGGTGTTGACCTCAGGTCACGGTCAGGTCAGCGCCCCCAGTTCACGAAGTTGGTCGAAAGAGGTCATGTCGCATATCATTCGATTTGGCAGATCTTCCTGAGTCCATTGGTGACTTTCCAGACTCGTTAGCTCAATTTGATCGGGAGTTATTGACGAAAAACTAATATGACCTTGATGACATCATAAATGACGTCACGCAAGGTCAACATTGCAAAAGTGACGCATCTGACCTTGCAAGGAGTGCATCAAATCACGATTCTGTGTGCTTGAGATAGTCGGAGATCGTTCCCGGCGCCAGAATAGCAGTTTTTATTTTTCCCCATTGACTTATTATGGTGAGGTCACGAAAATGACCTGACCTCATATGACCTTTAGGAAAAATCCGAGATATATAAGTTGTGAGACTCGTAATGGATACTAGATCCTGCGAGTTTCATTTCCCTGTGAAAGCTCCTCTGGCAGTGAGGGCGTTGCGAAGTTGCGACATCTGAAGACCGTGCAGAGGTTCACTTATGACGTCATAGGTCAGTGACCTGACCTGACCCGAAAATACGGTTGGTATCAAAAGATCCGGCTTGAAACAAAAGGTCAGGTATGCCAAGTTTCAGCTTTCTATCCCCAGCGTGTTCGGAGCTATCGCGAAAAAAAACCCTATGGAGGGGCGGCACCCGCCCTCCCCCCTCGGCCGGCAAGGGTTAAAAGGACCTTCTTTCAGCGGTGCGGTGTGCCTTACTAACCTAAGCCTTGTTTCCGATTCCGCCCGTATTTTATCAAGTTGGCAGGTTTTAGCACATGCTCGAGGTCTTATTGTTTTTGTATTGCATGTGTGTAACGGACCAGCGAACACATATTTATGTTTCTCTTCATAAACTTCCACTCCGCTAAAAAATAGGTAATTATCCCCAAATAATGTACTCAAGTACACAATATCAAGAGCATGACATACCTACAACAGCAAGTTGTAAGACCGTGAAACGGTCTTATGTTACACATCCAGCAAATATTCGAATAGGGGTCAAAATAAAGATGGCGATGAACGGTTACAGGCCTTGTCACAATAATTATGAAATGCTTATTACGCATTGAGTCTATTACGCATTGAAGCCATACTGACAGTCGCGCATAACATCAGGCTGCACCTTCTTTCTTGCTCCTTTCTTCGTTTCTAACCATAGCCTCATCACTCATCATGAATCCCAACGACAAACGAAGCTTGAGCTCTGGCTCACATTATTGTTCAGTTTAGTCCCCGACCTTTGCTGCCCTGGGCTGACGGGGCTCCGTCCGGCCAGTTTAGGTCTTTGGTGGCTATATTGGTACCCGCTGACCGACGGTTGCGCGGGCGGCCCTGAATGTTGTGGGGTTTCAGTTCTCCGGTCACCGAGAAACCCCACCAGTAACGTCAGTTCTGAGTGCCGATGTTGGGAAAACTGAAACGGCGCAGAAGATTGAGTTACGCTGTTCCACCGAAGTGGGTCCCGTTAGACCGCGCTCTGAAGTGGTTTGACCGTTCAAGAGTGCTGTGGCTATTAAAGGGAAAGATGAGTCTAAGAGAGTCGGAACTTTTTGTTGAAAACTTTGTTCAGTTTAGGGATACAGGTACCTATGAAACAAGAGTTTCAGAATCTGGTAGTTCTCCACCTCACAGGCTTACAGCTTATTGCTCTTGGACCAAATGGAAGCCCATTTCTCTCTGAATTACTAGTTACATTGCCGTTGCCGTTGCTGTACATTGCTGGCACTGATGTTGATATTCTAAGGCATCCGGCTGAGCTGTTCCATTCACTGCGATTCTGAAAACGGCACCGTTCTATTCAATGTTCAGCGACGTCCCGGATTGAAGTGATATTGAGCTGGATGTGAGAATTATTGCTCCAGAGTCTTATTGGAACGCTTTATCTGCGAACAACATGAAAGGTTGACGGAAATTGCCGGGCTCGAAATGTGCACCACCTGGATACCTATATGTAACATAGCTTTACCTGAATATACCTCAATAGAAGGAAGTCGGCAATCTTCTGCGAAGACGTTGCAAAGGGCGGGTGGAAGGAGTTGAAAGGGGGTATGAATGATGTTTGGCTGTGCGCATGCCATACTGGCCAGATACTATTGCTAAGTTTTTGCATTTATGTCCTAAAATGTTTTGCAATGTCGGTGTTTTTTTTCGGAAACAGTATATTTCTTTGTTTGTTTGCTTTGTTGGGTTAGGCCCTTTCGGTCTGACAAGACCATTTCAGCGGCGGAAGGATGATAGGAATTAGGGGGAGACATTGGTCTGGGCAGGTACCATAGAGAGTCATCGGGGCTCAGCCTGTTCCAAAAGACAGGCTTAACAGGCCCTCCCCCCCCCCCCCGCACTCTCCGCACCCGGCTACGGGTGTGCTCCCCTGGGAGCAGCGGTGCCGCTCCAATGGAGCAGCCCACATGAGATAAAGTTGGTTGTCCAGGCCGGAATAAGGGTTGCGGCGTGGAGGAGAAGGATTTGAACATCCTGAGGATGCAAACGACGGACAATTGTTTGTTTGTTTGTTTGTTTTGTTGGGTTAGACCCTTTCGGTCCAATGAGACCATTTCAGAGCCGGGAGGATGATAGGATATAGGGGGAGACATTGGTCTGGGCAGGTTCCCTAGTGAGTCGCCGGGGCTGAGCCCGTCCAGAGGACAGGCCACCCAGCCCCAAGGCACTCACTGCACCCGGCTACGGGGTGCGCTCCCTTGGGAGCAGCGGTGCCGCTCCAAGGGAGCAGCCCGCATGAGATAAAGTTGCCTGTCCAGGCCGGAATAAGGGTTGCGGCGTGGAGGTGAAGGATTTGAACATCCTGAGGATGCAAACGACGGACGAGTGGAAAGTGTAAATTTGTATGGGTCATGTCATGTGGTTTTTTTTTTTTTTTTTTTTTTTGTTGGGTTAGGCCCTTTCGGTCGACAAGACCATTGCAGAGCCGGAAGGATGATAGGATTTAGGGGGAGACATTGGTCTGGGCAGGCACCCTAGTGAGTCGCCGGGGCTGAGCCCGTCCAGAGGACAGGCCACCCAGCCCCAAGGCACTCACTGCACCCGGCTACGGGGTGCGCTCCCTCGGGAGCAGCGGTGCCGCTCCAAGGGAGCAGCCCGCATGAGATAAAGTTACCTGTCCAGCCCGGAAGGGGGTTGTGGCGTGGAGGAGAAGGATTTCAGTATCCTGAGGATAGAAGCACGGATAGGTGATGTCATGTGGACACATTACCAGCTTACCACCTGAGCCATAGCAATGCCCAATTCCCAAAATACACTCGTTTTGACCAAAAACATTAATTTAATTTGTTGCAGGACGGTCTGGACGACGACGTGCCGCTGCTGCCCTCTGTCGGCGTCGACGTATCGGACTCGACGGCCACGGAGGAGAACGATTCGGCACTGGACTTCACGGCCTCGCCGGCGGCGACGATCGAGCTGACACCTGGCGGCGCCAGCGTCAGGCTCGAGTCTGTGCCCGTCCGCTCCGTGGCGCCACCGGCCCCGTCCCCCTCCGCAGGTATGGCTAATGGCATTGACTGTAGTGCTGACTGGAATTCGGTTGGCTTATGTTTAGAATTTAGATAGTCACTATCAATAGCACACTTTGACCTCTATGTGGCATGAAAGCACGTAAGCATGAAGGTATGAAGGCAGGGTCTCATACGGTTGACGAATGATTCGTGGGAGATGGGCACGGGTCACGCTCACTGGTGGATCCCAGGGGGCATTTGGGGCAGCTGCCCTCTCGCAGCCCGGTGACCTCTTGAGCGGCAGGGGGAACATTCCCGTCGGCATCAGAACATATCCGTCCCACTGGGGCGGTCTCTGCCGCTACGGCAGCGGTCCGTACAGTCCAATGTTTCCGCCCTGTCCTATCATCCCATAGCTCTGCAATTGCCTTCTTAATCTGAAGATCTTGTTCCCAACAATGTGAGCGTTAGGAAGGCCGGTCGGTTGTCCCACCGAAGCACAGTTGTTCTAACGGGCCAGGATCTGTTGTGGCACGGATCTCGGTATGCAGAGGTTTAGGGTTGCGGGGGCTGGCCAGTGAGCATCGATGCAGCTCAACACCCTCCGTTAGGTGTATGTATTGCCACCGCGAAACTTTACTTAAATGGTCTAATAAGTTGAGAACGTACTCCCCCCCCCCAAAAAAAAAAAGAAGAAAAAAACGCAAAGCCAAATGATCAATCGTGAAAAAGAAACGAATGTGCACCTGCTATCAGATGTAAAACGTACAGAAATGTTGTTGAACTTGCGAGAAATGTAGCTGCCGTTTCTCTGCCAGCTACCAGACCAGCTAATGAATAAGACGGGACGGTTTCATTGCACATCATAACTACAGGGTGGGGCAGAAAGATTTACCTCTTGATTTTTGAAAATATTTCGGTCCAGAACGAATATATTCAAATGATTTTTGGTACACGTATTCAGTAGCATGTACACATCTCAGCAACGGCACTATGAACCAATATGGCCACCTTTGGTCTTCACCCCGGCCCCGAAACCTCCCCCTGCGGAGAGGCGCGAGCGCCGCACGGTGCCCTCGTCGAAATCCGACCATGCTGTCTCGAGGGCCAGCTTCAGAGCGGCCATGCTGCTGTGTGGTGATGCACACATCTCCCTCTCCAGAATGGCCCAGGTGGTGAAGTCCATCGGGTTCAGGTCTGGACTTGATGGTGGCCACATGTCCTTGTCCCAGAATCCAGGCATGTGGGTCTTGCACCACTGTTGAGTGAAGTTGGCCGTCTGAGACGACGCAACGTCCTGGACGGCGACGTATCCGTCTCGGAACGACTGAGTGATCCAAGGTAGAGCATCTTTCTCCAGCAGATGGACATAAACGTGTGAACTGACTTTCACACCCGTCTTGATGAAGATCAAGGGTCCTTTTGAGCCGTCGGATGCGATGGCAGCTCAAACGATGACACCAGCAGGGTTGTAGCGACCAAAATTGGCCTGGATAGCAGGATCAATGCTGGATGAACCATCTGCCAAGATTTTGTCGCCTTGAGAGCTCATCTGGGGCTCAGCCGTGGAAATCTTTTTATCAGATCAGAGGAAGACCTTGCTACCGGCGCTTTTGATTTCCTCCAATATCTTTTGGGCCATGTGAAGCCGTTTCTCCTTGGATGCCGCCGAAATTAGGTGTCGACGTTGCATCATGTATGACTCAAGGCCCAAATCGTCGTTTATGATTCTCCTGATCGTTTTGGGCGAAAAATCGAGGTCCTTTGCCAGTTTGCGCATATTTCGCCAAGGAGTTCGAGACACCATCTTGTGCACGATATCAACCAGCTCTTTAGCGCGGACATGTCTTGTTCTGCCTGGGATGGGCTTCCTCGACACTGTACAGTGTGTCTAAAAAGAATGTACCGTCGCCACTACGTGGCGCTGGTGTCGCGAGCCGGTAGTTGGCTGAATCCGCACCAGACCACACATTCCCAGGCGCTAGGTGACAGCTGCGCAGCGGCCGGTAGTAGCGTAAGCCCGAACCTTCGTGACACGACCCCGGGGGGGGGGGGGAGGGAGGGGAGCGGGCGGGGCAGCGCGTGTAGGGAGGGGTGCTCCAGCAAGCTGGCAGTTGTCGCGGCCAAAGGTCAAGGGGTCACACACCAAGCGAACGGACGCTGATGTGGGTTCGTGGGGATCATGAACTTGTGTGTGGTAGGTGCGTCTTGCGATGCACGGGTGATACGCCAGGTCTAAGCCAAAGGATTCAGGGGAGAGCTGAAGAAAACACCTGGTCAACTACGGCGAATAATAGTGCTGAAAATGGAAAGTATGGGTCAATGCAAGCCTTCATGACTATAAACAACTTTCTGAGGACGCAAAGGCCAGCATTGAATAACGATATCCGGATCGAAATTAGCAATGATTTATAATTAAATGCCGAACTAATAGCGCTGCAAAACCCTCCTAGTAAATTGTCAAGTCGGATTATACCCACTTGAATTAAACTATCCTAAATAAAATTGTTAATCAACTTTCTAACACTGACGTTCTTTATCATACGATAAGTATAGGGTTAACCAAGATTCAGCATCTTCCGCGTTCAAACAATCACCTGTAAGGCTAGAACATTAATGGCCAGGTAAAAACATGGTCGGGATTTGATTAACCGGATTATACCTAAGTCGATTTTTTTAGTCGGGATTTGATAAGTCGGATTTTTTTACGCCAACCGCATTTTAAGTCAAGTCAGGTCACTGATCTAGTATGACGTCATAAATGAGCAGTCCTAAAATGAACTGTGTGAAACTGTCCTAAACTGTCCAGTGTCCTCAACATTTTAGGACTGTGTGCACACTCCTAAAATGTTCCAACTTCGCAACACCCTCAGTGCAGAGCTTTCATAGGGAGATGAAACTTACAGGATCTTATAGTATGATCGAGAGTCTCACAGCTTGTATAAATGTATATCTCGGATTTTCTGAAGGTTCGCCTGAGATCAGGTCAGTCTCTCACCATTAAAAGTCAGGGGAATATGGAAATTGCTACTTTGGTCCGGAAATGATATACAACTATCTCAAATTCTCAAGCACACGGAATCGTGATTTCATGCGCTCCTTGCAAGGTCTGATGCTTTAATTTTGCTTTGTTGATCTTGCGTGACGTCATTTATCACGTAACCAAGGGTATCAGTTTTTCGTCAATAACTCCCGATCAACTAATGCTACCGAGTCGATAAAGCCACTAATGGACATGAAAAGACCTGCCGAATCGATTGATGTGCAATATGACCTCCTTTGACCAGCTTCGTGACCTGACGGGCTGTGACCTGACCTTGACCCGAGGTTAACACCTTAACTCTCGCCCGTATTGGTGTTTTTTCAGCCGCAAACGTATAAGGAAGGGGGGGGGGGGGGGTCCGTTGGACCCTCCCTTGCCGTTTCGCCCCTGATCGAGCTAGAGCTTCGCGGAAAAAAACTAGCGTGTTGGCCGTGACGAGAGGAAGTCGATGATACCCAATTTTAAGGTCCTAGGTCATCGGTTGACTTTCCAAGTCAGGTCAATGACCCAAAAGTCGGGAAAATCGGGCCTGTTAGAAAGTCGTAAAGCGTGGCTGCTATGGGGTTTTCGGGGTGCTGATCACGAATATCATGTTAGTTTTTATCACAGATGATGTCTTCATGCATTTAGGCCAGGTCGGGTCAGGTCAGGTCAGGTCAACCAGTAAGGGTATTCGTAGTAGATGGCAACCGCCTCTGACAGCTTCGCAACATGTTACGAGGGCACCAAAACTACTTCGTAAATGTTCATATGGCTGCTAAATTCGAATTCAGCTCCTAAAACTGGCCTAGAAACATGTAAAACTCGAAAAAGTGAACCGAGGTCATCAAAGGTCAATGACCTGACCTGACTTTCCGGTGACCTTGACACCCACCCTAATGCATGGAAGCAACATCATATCCCATGTTTGAACGCTTAAAACCACGAAAAGACTGCAAACGCGCCGCTAATGCGAGCCGACATACGCCGAATCGCGATTCCGGCCAAACATGGTCTCAAAAGTAGGTCGCAGGTCAAAGGTCATTAAGGTCAGGGTCATGACAATTTCAGGATGGGTGTAAAATTGATTAACGCGAGGGTAACGAAAGTTTCGTCGCGATCGGCCGCTTTTTACGCGAGTTATTCGCGAAAAACCGAGGGAGGGGGTCCGTTCGACCCCCCCCCCCCCCTCTACATATACGGGCGAGGGTTAAGTTGATCTCACCCGAAGAAAAAGTATACCATTTGACACGCCTGAGCTAGACAAACACGATGCTGCTAAAATCGCGGATCTGCGATCATTTTTAGCGAAGTTATTTACCAAAAACCGAACCTGTGCCTTGGGCCACTTGACCTGACCTCCGAAGTCATCGGCTGACCCTGGTCCTTAAATCGGAGACCAATCGCTGCATTTCGTAACGACGCACACGATCGTTTCTTTCGTGAGGCTCTAGCTCAATTAGGGGCGAATCGGCGAAGGGGGGTTGGAAGTGTTTCCTCACTTCCAACCCCCAACGTCCCCTCGGTATTCAGAAAACCTGAAGGTCCGGTGAGGGTTAAAACGTTTCTCCTGAACGAGGAAGAAATGTAAAAGTCAAAGCTCTATAGACGTCCTGTAAAAGTGGACATAATATTAAATTCGTTAGAAATAAGATGCTTTTTAAACGACTTCCTCAATCCTCATATAAAATCGGGTGCTGGGAACAGTCTTATAAACGCTTTAGAATGGACAGGGCGTCACTGGCTTAAGTTTGGGTGCAGAAAACGGCTATTACCTAAATGCAAAATGGTTTTCATGCATTTCAGTCAATTGTATATTGTCGGTCCCAGTGGCCGAGCTAAAAAAAAATCGGTAGTGTTTTGCATCTTTTACGCCCTAAGAAACTACACCATCTATCGAAGTGGGCGGGCTTATTTGAATGGGAGGGCGCATTATGCACGAATCGAGTGCTTTCGCTTATTTTGGACTGTATTTTACCACATCCACTGCTGGTATCACTATTAATATTATCTAATGCCGTGAATACGACAGCATTCCATTTATAAGATTGGGCCAATGGAGTCGCGCCCCGCGAGCTCGGTTTTCCGCTGGGCCGCTACAGGCCAGGAAGTCGGGCTTCGCCTGAGGGCAGGACAAAGGTCAGCGAGGGAGCGCGGGGTCAGCCAGGTATCGCCAAGTGCCGAGCGGATGCCGCTCCCTCCCCTCTCTTCCCCTCTTCTCCCCTCCCCACCTCGGTATAGATGGGGAGGGACCGAACTGCCAATGACATGCGAGCGGTCAAGGCCGCTCGCGCGGCAGCGACCCTGGCGGCCGGGTGCCGCAACTGGGATTCAGCCAAGTTACCGATTCGCCTCCTGTGGGAGAGCCAAACCAGGGGACATACTTTTTAGATATACTGTACCTGTCCCTTTAAGGCATTTCTTTAGATTGTTAACAGTTTTTATGGTAACGCCGAGCTGTTTTGGAACGCTTCGGACGCTGTGGCCAGCCTGCATCGGCGCCGCAATTTGGGCTCTTTTTGTAATCTCCGCCATAGCTAGGCAACAATCATGACAAAATTAAAAACGATCATAACAATTATACACGAGTCAGTTGGGAAGCCGCATGCAAAATTTCACTAAAGTCCGTCCAAAACTTTTTGAGTTATGGACTGAAAACAAACAGGTAAATCTTTCTGCCCCACCCTGTAATGCTCTTCTACTCTACATACTCGTACTTTTACTTTCTCGCCTTACAATTCCCGTTAAGATTCGTGTTCAAAATTGATACGCACAAGCTAAAGCTGTTTTTAACTGTTTACGTGCGAAACATCATTGTAGCAGCATGCTGGTCACTCGGCTAGTGTCTGGCTACGTTCCTTGATGTCATGTAGGCACAATTAACCTTGTTTCCCCGTTCGATATTGGGCACAGTTGACACATAAACATACGTCACTAATCATTCATCCTACGCAGTCAACTACCATCACATATATGACGTCACGCCGATGACGTCATCCGTCAGGCATCCGGTGACGTCACAGCACCGTTTAATCGAGCGCATAGTCGCTACCGTGCGTGTGGAGGTCCTTCACCTGGGAACCATTACTCGGTAGGCGGCCTCGAGTATTTGTGCACGGCACCGTCGCCATTGGCGGATGGCGGTGCCGGCGGCGGCCGTCCGGGCCCGTAGGCTCCTCCCTCTGCCCCCCTCTATTGGTGTCGAGGGGGGCTCAGGGGGTGATGCCAGGCCCGGGTCGATGTGGTGCACCAGTTGTCCTCCAGAGCGACCGTTATTCGGACGTGCTTGTTCGGCCTGCGGCGATAGCAACAGGCTGAGCCGCCGCTCGTCCTGTAAGACAGAGCGGTCTCTCGCGGTACAAAGTTAGGTGGTTTGGTAGGACCGTGACTTGATACTGAGCAGAGTCAGGGTATCTGGAGTAGCAGATCAATAAGACCCAGTAGCTGTTCAAGCTCGCCATCATGGGTTTCGGAAAAGGAATCGACGGCGGCTGCGGTAAGGTGATGCAGTACCTGCTGTTCCTGGCCAACTTCCTCATCTTTGTCGGTGGCCTGACAGTGCTGTCGGTCGGCATCTGGACACTGGTCGACAAGAACCAGTTCTCGGAGATCGTCGGCACCACCATGTACTCGAACGCCGCCATCCTACTGATCTTCGCCGGCGTCATCGTCGTCATCATCTCGTGCCTGGGCTGTCTCGGCGCACTGAAGGAGAACAAGTGCATGCTGCTGTCGTACTTCGTCATCCTGCTCATCATCTTCCTGTTCATGCTGACCGCCGGCATCCTCGCCTACGTGTTCCGGGACGAAGTCGGCGACAAGATCGAGGACGAGATGAAGGACACGATGGAGGACTACAACCAAAAGCAGGCCATCAAGCAGGGCTGGGACCTGGCGCAGTCGCGGCTCAAGTGCTGCGGTGTGATCACGAAAACCGAGTGGGGTAGCTCCATCCCGTCTTCCTGCTGCCCTGACGAACCGGAAACGTGCACATCCGGACAGGCCTACAGCGCCGGCTGCAAGGAGAAGGTCAAGATGTACGTCAAGGATCACGCCAAGGTGATCGGCGGTGTAGGCATCGGTATCGCCTGCATCATGATCCTGGGAATGATCTTCAGCATCATCTTGTACAAGATGATCGATTAAAATAAGGATAGGGATGCAGAAGTTGGATCCTGAAGACCGGGAAGTGGTAAGCTGAGCGGAGGTACTGCTGATGAAGATGTGCTGTTGGTACGGGGGATAAAAGATCCCCACAGATACGACCATTGTGGGGCGTCGGCTCACCGGCATCTGAAGATATCATGGGGCTGATGCTAAGGGCGTTTCGTTTTGATATTTAGCACCATTCAACGGTTTTAACTATGAATGTTGAAGATTATACTACCTATTCTCGCAAGTTTTGCAGCTTCTGAAAGGTTGGACCAATAAAGCAAGAGATACAAACCAGCAGAAAATATATACATATTAGTACTGGCATACAGTAGCGCTTCTTCTGCGACCAACAGTTCACTTTGTCCGTTTCGAAAAGGAATGCTCGCCTTGTTTATCGAGCTAGGCTTATTTTGGTGCTTTGACGACGGTCGTGTCGGCATCGATGTATCGTAGTCTGCGCCAATTTGTGCCTTCTCTCTGCGCCAGTTTATAATCGTCAATCATTAACGCTGATGTGTCACAAACGTTAAGCATTAACACCACGCGGAATAGCACACATGTAAAGCTGTAATGTTACGCTTCTGGCAAGAAATGTTACGCTTCTGGCGTGTTACAAGTAACTTTAAACGTACCGTGCGGCTTCGGTGTTGTATCGAAGCAGTGCTGGCTAATGCAGGTCATCGTGATTGTCGTAACACAAGCTGATTGTCGATGTTTCTATGTCGTTTTATAGGCACGTTTGTAATTGTACTTGTCGTTTGTTTCTACGGTTATATTGCAAACACCTGCAATGATTTCTGCCCGTATTTCGCGCGTGCATCGTCCAACCGATGAATTGCCTTGTTTTGTAACGTTGTTTCGTCCTACTCTTTACCCATCTACGCATAACTAGCGGCCGAAGTATTTGCCCAACGGCGAATTAGTCAGTGTTTCATAGACAACGAAGCATTATTACCCTTCTTTGGGGTCTAGCTAATAATATAAGCTATACCTATATGTGTTGTAGATTGGTCCACATAACGATGTGCAAGAGGTATATTTTAAGGTCCTGTGTAAAGTCGAGTTCACGTCGGATGTGTTTTGCATTAGGCGCATGTGCCCGAGTCAAGGAATGTTATACATCATGAGAGAATAAATATGCTAAATGCAGCGATATTGCACAAAGACAGTCGAGCCTCAGATGCGTGCCTCACTAAAGCAGCTCTTGAATTGAGTAGCTGCTATGCATATGATTGCATCCGTTGTGAATCTAGCATAAACTGCATGTTTCTGTGTGTCTATATGGAGTTAAATTTTCAGAACTTCAACTACAACTGATGACCAACTGCGCTTGTATATCAGCAGTGATAAACATACTTGTGGTTATCTAAAAAGGGGCTTCGGAATCATCCACGTATGTTTTCCATGGTCAATAAACGGTATATCATTTACCCCACTGTTTTTGTTGCGTAATAAATGGTATGTTGACGATTTAGCTTACATCGCGTTTGATGATAACTACTCGTACATTTAAAAACCTAAATCAGTTTACCAAAAACTTGCACAATTATTTTCATTTTTAGAATTGTTTTCTGCTTTCGCATTGTTTAATTTTCCATATTATTTTCTTCAAATAAACCATCGACCTTTAACTTATCAAGTATATTTTTACATTATCCTGACAAAGGAGCAGTCACATAATGTCAGAATAAACATCCAGTCACTTGACGCAATTTATGAACACCAAGGTTCATAGGTATTTTCTGTGGCTCGTTAATGCTAATTGCTGCATTTGATTTGTAATATTTTTCGTTGGTCTTGATAGAAAAAAGATGTGGTCTTGAAAAAGTACCTATTCGGCTATACATAGAATGGTTACCTAATGGTTACATACAATAATTATGTTTAGTAGTCTGTAGTAACTATTTTTGGTTTTATTGCCAGATGGGCTCATCACTTATTTATCCGTTTGTAGAAGACATGTTGGTGTGCTGATTGCTGTTACAGTTGTTTCTATAACACTTGATTGCTATAACAGGACTAAGCTGCTTTCCTGAAACCAATAATTAAATTCTTATAATTAAGTTTAGTGACGGTCATAATTCCTTCTCTATTAATGATTTGCCAGAAGTACACTGATAAAATAAACCATTTAACACTTGTTCAACGGGTGGCACGTATTATCAATTCGCGGACGGTTGGACCGAAACTGGAGTGTGACTGAGGCCTATTTATGGCATCGATCGAAGTGACCTTTTCAAGGGTCACTGACAGTCAGAGGTCACACTGAGGTCATGGGATCGGCCAGATGGGGGTAACAAGTGCTGGTCTCAATAGAAAGAGAGGAACTGCTAGGGAACGGGGTTCGCTACGCATAATAACGAGGGTACTGCATAGCAATTGACACAATAAGCCTTCGGTATGTAATGTAGCTACTGGCGCTCCTAACTGCGTTCTTCGTCAAAAGAGTCTTGTTACTCTTTTGTGATATAATAATGTCGGTAGTTTTATATGAGGAACAAGTGGTAGTTTCTATGTGCTTTTGGATACAGAACATTACTGAGTATTTTATTCGTTCAAGTAAATTTTTCTTTTGCAATCAGTTTTTGTATTTCTATAACACCTGATTGACAAAAAATAATGTTGTCAATAAACTCAGCAGTCTTTCTTGTAGGTATCTGCGGCCGAAGCCTTTGAAGCGCGATGGTGCCAGTTCCTGGAACACCGTCACGTCACCTCTGTTTACCACGGGGTGGGTGGTAGTTTCTGAACCAATTGTTTCGCGTTCGGCGAACTGCGCTGCTCGTGTCCTGTTCGATATCCTAGCGACCTTGCCGGCGCTGCCTGCGCATTGAACGTGAACTGCGAACTACGTGGCTACTGCAACAATGTTTCTTAGGTACGCTTACTTAGCTGGCAAACTATGCCAGCAATGTGGAAAAAAAATATTATAAAGTAAGACAAAAGGCTGCACAGAAATTGTCTTCCAACTTTCAAACAAACTTGTAGGCAATCGGTAGAAGGAGCATGAACCATAAAATTTAGCGCAGTCTGAACGCTTTCAGTTGAATAAGCACATGCCACGGGGGACACACAACATTTTACATCACCAGAAGGAATGGCAGCTTGTCCCCATTCCAGTTTATGTGTCTACATTCCTCAATAATTTCTTTGTCGCTCACTGGTAACCGTTGGGGATAGAAGCAGGGGGAGGGGGCTCAGGGGGGGGGGGGGCGTTCCCATGCCAGCAGGTCGTTAGGCGCGCGTGAAGAAATGTGTCAATGGCTACCCGACAGGGTAGCGTTGCTGATCGTTACATAGATGAATCGTCGGTAGCACGGTGACAACGAATAGCACATCGTGGCTATGGTCCTGGAAAGGTGCTGTTCTGAAAGTGATGATTATTATTAGTCGTATTTGGGTTGATTATTTGTATTTGTATTAGGGTTGATGTCCTGCATCGTATAAATGTTATCAATTTTATTAATTTATTAATTCCTTACACTTCTTATCATCACGGCTATTTTAGGGGGATTTGTTGCTTTTGTATGGAAATAGAAATGAACACAGCCGCAGACACCTCTGCAGTAGCAGCATGACCTCAGTGTACTGAGGACATGAAACATACAACAATATGTATTAAGGTGCATGAAGTTTGGGGTTTGGTTGACTCTTTTTTCATTATCAAGGCGTCGTTATTAGCTAAACGCACGATACCCTCCGGCGGTAAGATACTGAACTGATGAAGGCGCACAAACACAAAACATGTAGCTCATTTTCATTTCATTTGTATTTTCAGTCCTTCATTTCTACTTGCTTTTCCTTTTGAAGCGTGTTTCAAGGTCATCCGCTTTGGCGCTGCGTGCAGGTGTGTATGCGTGCATTTCTTTATCAATAGGACCGCCTTATCGGGTGACCTGCAATTAAAGCCAAGGCTAAAGATAATGAACGGTCTAGGGACCTAACTTGCTTTTAAACGCGGGTAGCCTAGGTAACCAACCAACCGTCTTATCGTGTGATCCACATGATACGGCGAGCCATCCGTGATGTTTTTGTACACCTACCACTATGTACGACTTCTTGCTTCACCACTTGTGCACATGTTGAGTTCCATACGTGGGCATGCTTTTAATTAAATAATTTACTAAACACATTTCATTATAAGCTTCATTATCAGCAGGACATATTATTTTACCTGATAGCTGGTATTTTAAAGCTAACTTACACCCCTATGCACAACATAAATAACTTACATATTATATTATAAATAAGAAGCAGCCACCTATCATTCCACGCCGATCGAGGCAGCCTTCATCCAGGCAATTCAAAACCTTTCGTGTGACGCTGTTGCCTGCAGCACGCGTGGAACGTCGCTCTCACGACAGGCACATACATGTCCGTGAAGAAGGCACGGTCCGTGTGGAAAACTCACGCAGGACAGTGTCGCCATGACACACTGGTCACGACCTAATGGCCGGGTCGTATGAATGATAAATGTCTGGATGGCAGAGTACCGGTGGCTATGTGAAGGTCAGGTGTGGGTAGTAGCTCTTGTTTAATGAGTAGCATTAACATTTAACTGTCATATGCCGCTTTGTTTAAGAGGTTGCAATGTTTAGAGTTGATGCGTCTTTTTAGTTGTTGACTTGACGGAACCGGAGTTCGTTTGCTTGAGTGGGTACGCTGGTCAGATTGCATTCAATTACGCTAAAATGGAAATCCTGTTTCTTCTTTTGAAAGCATTTAGCCAATGGGTTCAAGCATAGCAGTGCGGTATGATTTTCATAATGAGTGAATTCTTAGCCCAGGTATGACCTTTAATAATTTCTTAAATATCCCTCACCTTGAAGTGTCCCTCCCCTGCCATTCAACTGACCTGCATCCCGCACCTCCCTTGTCCCTGACCTAACCCGTCCCTACCCCTGACCTGATCTGTCTCTATGGCCCCTCTGTCTCACAGTCGCACCTTCACAGGCGTCCCTGCCCCTGACCTGACCTTCAGTCTACCGCCCCCTGACCCTTGACCTGACGCCTGTGACCCCTCTGTCTCACAGACCCTGACCCCTGTGGCCCCTCTGTCTCACAGTCTCCCTGTCGTCGCTGCTAGGCGGAGGTCTCTCCAGTCTGTTTGCCTGGCTCTCTGGGAACAGCACCGCGCACCGCTCCACACTTCTACTTCTGTTCTGCAACCTGCTGTTGCTGCTCATTTTCTGCTCGTCGTACGCATCGCTCTCCAGAATGGAGGAGATCCAGCGGCGCATCGAGAGCCCCTACCAGAGGTGAGAGGAAGGGAGAGAGGGGGAGAGAGAGAGAGAGAGAGAGAGAGAGAGAGAGAGAGAGAGAGAGAGAGAGAGAGAGAGAGAGAGAGAGAGAGAGAGAGAGAGAGAGAGAGACGGAGAGCGGGAGAGAGAGAGAGGGAGGGAGGGAGGGAGGAAGGGAGGGAGGGAGGGAGGAGGGAGGGAGGAAGGAGGAAGGAGGGAGGAGGGAGGAGGGAGGAGGGAGGGAGAGGGAGAGGGAGAGAGAGAGAGAGAGACAGAGAGAGAGAGAGAAGAAAAAAATACTGAAATTCGCATGCCAAGTCACTTACCTACTGCCGTGCAAATAGGTAGCTATAATTCACACAATAATGGGACACGGAAGTGTTACAAAAAAGGCCATTACCACCTGTACATACATTGTACATTGTTGCGGCACTATTTAATGCCCACGATGTGCGATAAGCTGGTCGCCATTGCCCTAAAAGCCGCACAGCGTATTTATTCCGTTCTTCGACCACTGTTTACCGGTTGCTATGGACCAAACAACGCCCAATGGCGCGGGCCGCGGGGGCGACCGAGGACTGCAAGAGCCATACCGGCCTTTGTTATATGGTGCTGAATAGTGAATAGCTCATCGAACGGTGTTAGCTGTGGACCGCTGTTAGGGTCTGGACGACAGGTCGGCAGGTGTGCTTCATTTCATTCAAGGCGACGATACTTAAAAGGTTGGCATGTGCAGGTGGCGACATGACAGGCTGATGAAATGGTCTTATTTGTGGAGTAATTTCAACAATGAATAGTGGCATTAGGGTGAAAATTCGTTTATAGCAGTACCCGGTATGGTATTGTGATAGGCTGACGAAATAGTTTGTGGTGTATTTTTAACAATGAATAATAGTGAATAGTGATGTTAAGTCTAAAAGGCATTTTACGAGATACGTCACGACTCGTGTGATAGAACCCAGCAAGTTATCAAGGTCCTTTTTACCTAAGCATGTTAGGTAAAGTTTAGTGGCAAGCTTAACCACTTGCATTACCTATTTATTGCTTAACAAAGAATCCAGTTATTCGAAGGCCTTCTCGGGTCAGCGAACTTCCTAGAACGGCAGTAGCTCATTATCAAACGATTCGCGGGCCGTAATATTCAAAGCCAAAGAGCAAACGAACGCTCTCTAGCTTCGAAGTCGGATCACCGGTCTCCAGAGGATACAGGGCGAGGCTTTACATTCTAGCAACCCGAGCGCAACTATGTGAGGTCACGCCACCACCCGTGTCAACGAGACTAATCCATGAACCAGCGTCCAGCGACCTGTTGGATTGTGCAGACCAGCGCTGTGGCAACTAAATGGTCCGTGATACAGGATCATGTGACTCCAAGATTTGGCAGGAAGGTCAAATATTCGTTGGCTACATGGGCGTATTATGTGTTCTGTTCTTAGTGTTTCATCTTTATTAGTTGTACAACAAAGCACGAACATTCGACTACCGACTGGTGCGTCGCGGTGGCTAGCCTATCTCGTTGGGCCGGGAGTGTTCCGATAGGCCAGCGCACAACTTGTCACTTGAACAGGCAGAAGCGTGTCCCTAATAGAGCTATAGCATCCACTGGCTGTCTAGTGGGATGATCGTTAGCCCGAATAACGGCAAAAGTGACCTATAGAATGAGGATACATTGAACGGATAGAGATTCTGAGGATAGCGATAAGATTGCGATGATAACGACAATATTGTCTTATCTCTCTTCGATTTCAATGAACACTTCTCGATACATGGCATAAGCAATCGTTTTGACATTAGCAGCTCATTGTCGTATCAATATAGGATCCCATGAAATGCAAATTTCCCCATGAAATGCGGCGTAGACCCTCCCACTGGCTACGCCGTCCACTATTTTACGCATTGGGCTGCGCGCTGCGTCGCACTCCCTTGTTTCCTGCATGTTCGTCGACGCTCTTCCGTTGCCTAGCAACCGACCTAAACAAACTACGTCACGACACGGCTGGGCCTCCCCTCCCCCATCAAAGTACGGCCGTGACGCCATACCCGATCACAGCCCCTCCCCTTAGTGAAGTATCGACCGGCTTTGTGTAGTAGTAGTGGGGCGGGGAAGGGGAGGAGGGGGGTACCGAGTTGTGAACACAATCGTTCGTAGACATGGCACTTAGCATGGCACCTTGACGTGGCGTAATAGGCAAACTTCCTAGCATGACGAAACTCAAACACACAATATGAACTAGGAATGTTGTCCATTAAAGTTTCTGAAAAATGGAGGCCACAGGTCGCGGACGAAGAATGTGCCTGAAGTATCGCATATTGTCAAGGCTATGGATAAGCCTGCTGCGACCCGTAAAATGGCCCTAACGGCTAAGGTACCTCTGTCGGGAATGGTGTTCTAATACTAAGAATTATTTATCTCTGTTTTGCTAGGGATTTTAAGTCTCACTTATCGCACGCACTTTATTTTTGTAAATTTTGGTATTCAGTTTTGTATGTATTTTTAAAGCTGATGTTTAACTTAACATATTGCAGCATGTTTTACAATAACTTCATGTCTACCTGAAAATTCAACCGTTCGCTCGCAACATCAACTGTTCCTGGGTATCCAACCCACGTAAAATACAATAGAATTCCTTTATGTTTATACATAACAACACCTATCAATAGCTGCAACACCCAAATAACACTTAGGAACATAATGCACACCAGTTATATTATACAATGCTGTATTTTTCTTCAATGTCAACATATGCATCGTTCACGGGATATCCGTAAAGGATCCAATGTTGACGAAGCCTTGCGGTACAGTATACCTACCAGGCGTTGACCACTAACCCCATCTATCGGCGGATTGGCGTACTAGCATTAGGCCCGCGTCACATGTCGTACGAGCTTTTCAAGGGATCACGCTATACAGTAACTAGATACAGTAACTAGATATGTAACTAGATACGTCTGCGCCATGCCGAAAATTAATGACCGGATGTCTGAGGACATCGTCTTCGGCCAGGGCCGGCACATATTTGACATTATTCAAGCTTGACAGCACTTCAGTCCTGAATTATTGGCATGAAACCATCTCTCCGTGTTTACAAAATTCCTAGCCCTTTGTTCAGTCTTGTTTGTTTGTTGCCCCTGAGGACGAAACTCAGCAACCATGCTGATCCATAACTCTGCCGGGTCCACACAACTGGCCAATAGCAGCCAATTCGAACCTTTCGTTCCACACCGATACTGCAAACAATGGGGCCTGTTGACTGACAGAGGGCCTCTCACAAATCAATAGAACTCACCCGGCCCTGGGAGCGAGTCAAATGTCAGGTGCCGCCATGCCAGGAATGGCCAGTTTATGAGGTGCAGTGGATGAAACTGCGGACATGGAAAAGTTATGGGATGAGATTCGGGTTTAACGAGAGCATGTTTAGTGGTAGTGCAGAGGACATGCTTATCCTGTAGGGAAGAGGATACGGGAGGCGCAGGATTAAAAGAAGGCACGGGGAACTGAGGTATAACCAAGTGAGGGATGCGTTGGATTTCGCATGATGCATAGGAGTGAATGCAGGGATGCAAGAACCGTCGACCTTGTAAAGGAACACATACGTAATTTATAATCATCGATAGAACATCGTACGGTACGACGCTCTTACACTGTAAGTATAGGACGGTCGTCAAGGGAATACTGATCTGTATAGGTCGGGAGGGGGAGTCGGGGGGGGGGGAGCTCGCGTGACAGTCACATTTGGCCGCCGACCATGCACGCTAGGACCGGGGGTCGGCCGTCGTCGCGGCCGACACGCCACTCTCTGACCTGTCACGGATTCCGACGGGTCATCTGTCTGCCCATAGGTCGCCGATGGGGGTAGGGGAGGGAGCAGTGGCCACGGGGCCGTCACGGAGCACGAGCTGTGCAGTGCCTCTGAGCGGGGCGGCAACTGGTCATGGTGTTCGAAATTATCGTGGTGGTAGCTTTTAGATCATCGTTGTATTTTGAGGTAGTATGGCTCGGATGTTCACATTTTAAGTTTCAAATTAGTGTTATTTTTCAATAGGTATAGAAAAGCCCCAAAGAAGATATTTTTCAACCATCGTATATGGCCATTATGCTGCTTTTGAATAAACACATCAATCAGATGCAGTTTTAACCTTCATAGCCTAATATGCTAAAAGCATGATATAATTTGAGTGCAACATTGAACTGTTGTTTTTTGGAATGACGTGTGTTCAACGTGTATGGCCTTATTATGTCTTATCATGCTGTACGCTGGAGTTTAAAATATACTCCGACGGTGCACGCAATGTGAGCGCATTTTAAAAATGCGTGCTATTGCAGCTATAGCGGAAAACATGTTTGTCGCTCCACAAAGCACACAATGACTTCTTATTTATTGATGACCTGCGGTTAAGCATGCATAAGCTGCATATCTAGCCACTTATGCTATGATCGTCGCAAAACAATTAAATAATTTCACACCAAATGGCTCCAAATTTTAGTTGCCTGAAAATACGATCAAGCAAATGATGCAGTCAATAACACAAGCCGGAATAATCTTGTCCTTTGACATAGATAGGCTCCGCCACGGTTTTAGGATTGGGGGTTCGTCTTCGACCATAAAATGATCTGCTGACAGCCTTATACAATGCATACAGCCGCATTACGGAAACAAAATAATCGGAGGGGATTCGAACCCGCAAACCCCGGTGGCGGAGACTCTGCTTTGGCCTAAGAGATAAATATTCAAATACACAATTCAAAATACAGAGCTTTCGGTAACGAATACCTTGATCACTGTGTGTACTGTGTATGCTAAAATAAGAAGAGATAAACCTTTATTACAAATGTTTGTTTTCCTTTTTGTGCCGCAGGGTGGAGACCCAGGAGAGCTTAGAGGAGGCGGAGCGGACGCTGAACCTGCATCTACAGCAGCTGGCTATGGTGAGCTGACGTCACTGGGTATACCTTGTTATGGCGTCACTGGTGGAACTCAGCCAGCTATCTATCGATTCAACCAGCGCCGACAGCCGCCCAGATTTGCTTCCGGCCCGCCTGTATCGAGGTCGTTAATGGAATGAAGGCTATTATAACAAACCTCGTAAATCATGACAAGTATGGAGATGAGAGCTATAAAGGCGGCTCAAAGTCCCGGCGGCATAAAAGTAGAATCCGTGCACGTTTTAAATTAGATTCAGCTGGTAGTGGTGTGAAATCGGTGTGGATGCAAAAATGTAATTGATGAAATGAAACCGTTAAGATAACCGTTAAGTTAAATGTGCATTATAAGCATGGTCATTTCTTACATCACAATTAGCTCACAAAATTAGATTATCAACTGGCAAAACACTAACGCTCATGTAAGACTGAATAGTGATGACGTATTTTTTCGTGTTTTTATTTATTTAAGAAATCGTTTAAAGCTACCGCTGCGTTTTGCAGTTGTCAAGTTCAACCACCAACGCATTACACGGTCCAACAAAGCAATAAATGTTTGCATCAAGCTGCCCATCTAGGCTTTTTGACCTACCTCTGGAAACATTGATTCCTAGCATCTCTCTCTTTTCGTGAGCAACTGGTGGTTGGTTCCGTAGACTGGGATATAAATCAGGATAACCGTCAGCCCAGCTTTATCGACCCATAACGACCTTTACGGGAGGAGGGTCACTCCGATCAGTGATAGGCCGCCCAGATTGTCAGGGTGGCAGGGAATTCCAGTGCAGTGATGCTCTGACTCTGGTGCTTCCTGGCGAATTCATGAGAGAGGAAGTAAAATTCGAAGTAAAATTCATGAGAGAGGAATACGTGAGGTTGCGTGACGTAGTCTTAGCTGAAAAATACTTGCATTGATCTGTGCTCTAATTTCTAAATCTGTACTTGAACATGCCTGTTGACAAATTTACTTATTTATTCATTTGCATTTTTTATGAGAATAGCGCATATTTGCTGGGTGTCCCACGGACCCACACATAGTAGTGCAGAATGTCTTTTGAGAACTTTAGTTTCAGCTTCTAACCACCAATATTATTCATTTCCAGGTGCGGAAATCTCTGGAGTCTCTGAGCAGTCTGACAATGAGTGGCCACCCCGGCGGGGACTCCACCTAGCGGTGACCTCTGGAGGTCACTGGCTGGTCCCGGGACCCACCGCGGAGCCCGGAGGTCGCCCACGGTGGCGCCCTCTCTGCTATCAGCTCATGTGGCGCTACCTCTGCCTGTGGCGCCCCGTGCTGACAGGCTGAGCGCTGAGGAGCGGAGGCAATCGCCGCTGCGGGTCGCGGAGAGACGCTGGACGTCTTCTCTCGACGGGCCGCAGCTGGGTGACGATGTGAATTCAGTGGTGCCACATGGCCCGGACTCTCCCAATGTCGAGCAGCCATTTGTTGTATCTGCCGCTCGGTTTGCTCGACCCGATGGGCGCCAACATAATAGCTTTAACGGCGTTCTGTCGCGGTCCCCTGAAGGCGGCGGCCGTATCCTGGAGCTCAGTTTCGTAACACGACCATAGATGTCGTGTGCGATGCTTGCCAAAGCGCCCTATTGTGGTCTGCTAGTTGACTACTCCCCGTGCAATACCTATCCGGCACGGTTATTTGCTGAGGAGTTGTGGATGCCATTGGAAGAGTATTTTCTGGGGCAGAGACCATTGTTATGTATTATTGAAGTTTACCTGATGTTACTAAAAAGGTAATCGGATGTGATGCCGGCAGACCTCCTGCTGAGAGGCTATGTAGGGACTGGACGAGGAGCTTCGCATGAGAGCTGAACCAGTGGGGCAATATATAGGCATTATGCTATTATCCAGCAACCATTGACCAAAAAGCCTACTTAAACATTTAGTTGAGTGTGGTATTCGTAATTGATTGTTACCTATTGAGGTCGACTCATCTTCCCGAAAATCACCTTTGAAATGGTAATTCCTACCCGTTTGAAATTCATGTCGTTAACTCTCCTGCACGTCCCATCAGGGTTTATCAATGCTGTCTACAGGTTTGCTGTCGTCGGTCGTTCGACAAAGGCACCATTTGCTTAGAGTGTTTCGCAGGGTGCCACCATAGCTCCTCTGTTGTTTGCTGATCACCGCCCGTGAGGTAGCTATGACCACGGACGATGTTTGATCGCCATTAAAAGGATCAGAACATCTTGATAGGGGCAAAGGTAGGAGACCCAATCACCTGAGGTACAGTGGTCATACTTAGGTGCCCCATGTACAGGGACATTGACTTAGTGAAGTGGAGTAAAGATAATCGTGTCACTTTCGTCTGACAGAAACACTGACAGGGAGATAAATAGGCAAAAAAGGGACTAGAAAGTCAGAACCCGTTAAACCTTATGATGATTTATGAGCAGCAAACTTTTATATCTTGACTTTTTATTGTTAAGAGAATCCGGTTTCACGCAGTTAATTTCGTATTAATGTGATGCTAATCGGAATAATTCTTAACTGGTGTTGCGAATGCAGATAGGGGCACTCTTAACGACTTTTGATATTGTTAACGACATATTTCCTAATTTGTAGAAGTCGCCTTCCTGGAGGTTATGGTGCGTCATATTGTGATTTTCGTCTTTATGATTCAGGCGCTTTATGTCAAAGCTGCAAATATTATTTGGTTTATCATGGTGTGATGAAAGAGCTTGATGTAAGAAAGACTGGTGGGAAGTGTTGGGATTTTGGCAATGTTCCACTTTTCGTTTTCAGTAGTGTCGTGGTTATGTGAAGACCTGTGTTTCATCGGGACTTTCTGAAATTCTGAACACCGGAATAACATTGTTTTTATTTCTGGGAGATCTCATTTGGTTCAAAGAAGTGGTTAGAATATGTGTAGGCGCATTTCGTGCTGGATGGACCCGGCTTGTACTTATTTTCAGAACATCGTGTCACACTTGTAGTCACATTGTATGCTTTGGAATGTCGTAAAAATATTTCCAATTCGTCCCAAACCCTCAGCTATTTGTACCCAGACAGCTATGGACCAGGGATCCTCTGGTCTACACTTTGTGACAAGGCATCGCACGATGTTGTGACACACGCCGTCATGTGGTGTTCGAGCTGCCTGTATTCGCCCGGTATGTGTTGGTATGTATGTTGTGAGCCTCACCGTGGAAGAAGAAATCGTTTTGTTGCGCTGCGCTGCCGCTCTAGGCGGCCATTGTGAGGTCGTTATTGACTGTGATACATACACCCAATCAATACATTCACCGGTCTCGCGTATCCATGGGCGTTTATGTTGCTAAGTCGAAAATAAAAGCCGTGATAGGTCGTGGAACGAAAGGTCTCTGCAGTCTTCAGACCATTTCATAATACATATCAGTCATTCACACGAGTCATGCATACATACAAGATTGGACCAAATACGAATAGTCAGTTGACGCCGAACAGACGAAGGAAATACCTATAGTAGCTATCTGTAACGTATGATCGACCACTACAGTACCTACGCAATCGCATGCTTCAATTAAAAAGAAACCGGTTATCATTGATGGAATAGAGGTTCATGTGGTTGCACCTAACATACGTGTAAAGGCCACCGAAGTGTCAGCAAAGACGCGTCGAAAGTATTTCTAAATTCCCGTTCCATTTAATGCATTAGGTGGGTAACGTAGCGATTAACGGCAGCCGAAGCTTTTCGTAGAGTATTCCGATTCGTATTGGAATGCGAATCATCCTCAATTGTACGGCCGCTACTCCCCGAGCCCGATTACGTCACGCCGACCAAGTTTTGTAAATACAAGTTAAAGTGCTCTTAGTTTTGTTACATCATTGTTGGTGAATGCAAAGTACGAATGATCCGACTCAAACGATTTCTTGTGGAGTTAAGTCTTCATGAGTTTGTTACTTTTACAAACTGCACATCATATCCTTAGGAGTACCGCTCACGGCACGGTCTTTCAGGATCTACCGTGGCTCTCCCTCGCCAGCTGCAGTCTGGTGCGGCGGAACGCGGGTCAACCGACGTGAATCACGGGCCGCGAGCTCGCTGCCACCGAGGAGACGGTCACCCTATCCAATCCACTAGTCCACACGGGTTCTGTTTAGATGAACATTTAACACATCATTGTTGGTAGCTCTATCAAAAACTACTGTCTGAAAATCGTTACCCTGGCCTAATTGGTGATCTTACACGGCATAATTGTTGCACAGAAGCGATGCAATATCACTTCTGTCATGATTATGTCATGAGCTTACAAAAATATCCTTACCCTAGGACTCACATTAGGGCACTACACAGTGATGCAAATGGGGTTCACGAGTGGCCATAAATACCAAAAAGTCAAGTTTACCCAAATGAGTAAATCGCTATATGGCTAAACAAAGAAATGTTTGGCGCATCTGAATTCACATAGTTTTCATATTTTTGTCAAAACCGGCCTCGTGTATGATTGTCAGAAGTCGTGACATTTTCTATGTCGTAAAATGACTGTCAGATACCCGCAACTTCAAACACCGCTAGCGTACGTTCATTTAATACAAATGACAAAAATTATACATGGCAATGATCCCTAAAGCCTGCTGCTTCTCAAGCCGGGTCACAAAAAGCCGCATCTTTTTTGGTTTGGCGGTGATCTAATCATTTGTCATCATGTTGCAATCGCAGTTTTTTACTAAGAAATATTTGCTTTCGTTTCACCTACAGCAGTTTACACAGTGTGTGCCCGTTAGTGCACCATACCATATCATTCCCTAACCATTTCTGAGTCACACTGTGAAAGAATTAAGGCGCTAGCACAGGGCAGACCGGCGCTATTGAAGTTTTTGTCCGGCGCGGTCGGGTGTCGCGGTCGGGGCGGATTGCTTTCACCGCGGATCGCAATTTCGACAGATGTTTAACTTTGAACTGCTATAAGTAAGTCAAATATTGACCTTAAGTCAAAAGTAATATGCTCACTCGCGAGACCTTGTCAAGAGCAATCCATTGGTTTTTGTCGCGAGGCGATAGGACACTTCGTTTAGGAACAGCAGAGGGATGCACCGACGAACCCCGCTGAGGCCGCCCGCCCGCGGCGCGGCCGCCCGGGCTGCCCACCGCGCCGCGGCACCCGACCGCAACGGACGAAAACGTTAGTAGCGCCGGTCAGCCCTGTGCTAGCGCCTTCATTCTTTCACAGTGCGGCTCAGAAATGATTAGGGAATGCTATGGTATGGTGCACTAACGGGCACACACTGTGTAAACTGCTCTAGGTGAAACGAAAGCAAATATTTTTTAATAAAAAACTGCGATTGCAACATGATGACAAATAGTTAGATCAACGCCAAACCAAAAGAGATCCGGCTTTTTGTGACCCTGCATTAGAAGCAACAGACCTTGGGGATCATTGCCATGTATAATTTTTGTCAGTTGTATGAAATGGACGCACGGCGTTTGAAGTTGCGAGTATCTGACAGTCATTTTACGACATAGAAAATGTCACGACTTCTGACAATCATACACGAGGCCGGTTTTGACAAAAACATGAAAGTCATGTTTTTTTTAGACACCCCAAACATTTGCCTGACTGGCCATATTACGATTTATTCAATTAGGTGAACTTGAAATTTGGGCCTTTTCGGTATTTATGGCCACTCGTGAGCCCCATTTGCATCACTGTGCACTAGTGAGAACCGATTCAATAATGTGTTGGTGGATGAAAATATCTCACAAACGACTTCCGTTAAACGGGCGACTTCAGTCACCCTCACACTAGCTGCCTTCCTCCTGGATACCTGGTTACCTGGTTACCTTGGTCGATCAGCCACTTGCATCATGGCGTGACTACGCTGAGTCTGATCTTATTCTTGGCGTTCCCTTCGATATTCATCCATCATTTGTGTGCCGGTAGACACGGCATGGTCGTAATTATTCAGGGATTGGTCGCTCACGGAAGGACACAATGCCAGATCAAAAGTTCACCACCCAGGGAGGATAAAACGAGTTAACGCCTTTTTAGCGATAAGCGAGCGGGTGCAATGATCTATCACTAAGCTGTAGGCAGAGAAGCGGCAGCTGCCTCTTCAAGCGTTGAAACGCATTCAGTGAAATGAAACACCTATCTTTTCGACATTCGTTGCCAGATGACACGGTTGCAGCCTGCAGGTGCCATCGGTCCAGCCGTACTTGATATGTAGAAGCGGCCTTTGCACATGTGCACCCAAAGTAGATAGGTACTCGTGCGGGACATTTAACTAGCTGAGACCTCTCTTACAACCAACATGAACGGTTTGGCTTTTGATGATAGAAAACAACCAACGCAATGAGCAATCTCGTATTTTTGTTAGCCGTAGCAGTTTCCTTCAATGTCAGTTATGGTTCTGACGTAGTTCAGACTCGGTAGACTGATCCGTAGTGTACTATCCTAAGGAATAAACATTAGTTGGCCTACCGTCTACCATTCTTGACCTGAAGTCCGCTGCATCGCCTCCTCGTACCGTCGCAAATCTGCGACGGGCCGTGTCTGCACTGAGAGGTAGACTGCACCGCAACACAGTCGGGTTCAGCGGCACAGCATACCTTACCATCCAAAGCTTTCGGCGAAAAACGATGAACTGCATGCTCCAAAAGGCTTCGTCTAAACTTTGCTCCACTGTCGCTTGCCCTTTAGGTCCTAAAGGGCAAGTAATAAGTTAAGTCGTGCCTACGTCATGCATAAAAAGTACTGGTACAATTGGTTAACCATATATTTCTGTGAGCCGATGTGCAAAGGCATGGCACATACAGCCCATATCCTTTGAACACTTCCACCGCTCCATTTTCACGTCCATTTCTGAAGTGTCGGCTGGCAGTTCTGACAGACTGGCCAGCGACAGGCGTGGTCTACTCCCTTTCCAGGGCAGACGGCTGAGGTGGGGCTTCGTACCTCGTCTGCACTGACTGGCTTCTGCCGAGCCTCAGACACAGGGTGACCCAGCTAAAACACCAGCCGACTTCGGTCGCGACACAAATGGGATGAAATCGAGACACTTTTGGAATGATGCCATAGTGATGCTATTGGCGTGTCTGGATTTTGTGACTTTTAGTGGAACTGGACTATGTATAGGTATCTGACCTGAGCCCAACGAAAATGGTTGAAACTTCAAAGTTGTGTTTCAAGGTTTTTATAAAAACAGGTAAAAAAAAACTTCATTGGTGGTAAAAAAATGAACTCGAAAACGACATTGAACGACTTACTAACTTATCTCTAAATTTCCAACAATGGTTAAACCAGACTTCTCTATATACGGAAGTCTGTGGTTAGACCTATCAATAAGCATCAATAAGAAGGGGGAATATTAGCTTTCGAATGTCAGCTATTTTCAGGAAATGCAGCACACGATCCCGCCTTTGAAGGACACATATCTGAGGTCGACCGGTCACATGTCAGGTGGACATTGAAGAAGGGTTGGGTCACGTGACCGCCGCCTGGCTCCGTCTGGATCGATGGCCCGTCGAGCCACTGATGACGTCACAGGGCGGCTCCTTGCCGTCCGTCTGGGCGGGGCCGATCTGGTAGCATCGGCTCCGGTCTTCCCGGCTTCTCACAATTTTATCTCTTTAGACACGCCGTCGCCAATAATTATTGAAGACAAAAAGATGAAAAAGAAATAGTTACACAAGACAATTTGACAGAATGTCTTGCATGGGGCTAGACATGGATTAACTGCCCATTTATCTTATGCTCAGGTACCACCATGACCAAGCAACATTGGCACGGGGTTTATGAAATTATGCCAGCAGCTCAGCGCCATCCAGATGCGTCTACGGACTGGCTAATTTACTGCCCACATTTGCATATCGCATAAACATTACATATGACTAATTTGAGATGCCAACTACACAATCCTGTCATTGAGTAATGATAATATTTTTCGTTGCATAAGTTTAATTCTGAGCTCATCAAACAAAGCAAAATTCATCGAAAGCGACAATAAAAGCAAAAATAGCTCAAAGAAAATCTTGTTACGGAAGCACAGTCACTTATCAATGCAGACATTGTTGGCTTGTATGTTAAATAAAGAGGACAAATAAGGTAAATAACTATATATTTATATTTTGTATCCAATAATGCTAGCTGCTGGCAAGAGAAGCATAAACTCTGCTCAAATAAACTTCACTCCAACAAGGATAATTACCATTTTCACAGAACACACCAAAGGGCCTTGCCACTGCTGGTGTCCGTTTATCCGCAATGCAGTTGTCGCTTCCGCGCTGCAGTGTTCAGTCGACCCAGTGCAAACAAAACGGACCGTGCCAGCCTGAG